CACCATCATCCATACCGTTCTTAAATCACTGCCTGCTATATTTCCAGTGAGTTGGTATGGGAAATTAACGAAAAAGTTTCGGAACGACACACAACTGTGAAATAAACATGGAACTATTAAGTATTGCAAGAAGTATTTGTAGATTTCGTCACTGCAAAATCTCCCATTATTCTTGTGTTAATTAGCACTTGTTAATACCTCGACGTTCAGAACCTTCTCCACTCGACGGTACTACCTAGGAGACTGCTTGGCTTGAGAATGTGAGTATCACAAGGTCATGGATCTTTCGATTCACCCGACCACCGAGTCTGCACCCGAATCCTTTCAAAGACAACTCAGAAACTTAACTGCTTTTCATTTGCCACTACTGAAAATCGGACTGGGGTAAGAAACACTCTCGAGGACCTATTTATTACAATTATTACATACAATTACGTAGCCTTAGTTCAAAACCAGTAAATGCACCTATTCAGATGTCGCAGGTTCATTATATGTGCACAACATCGGCCACTTTCTCATGGATGCCATCTTGCACTAGAAAAATTTGTTAATTGTATGGCAATGAAAAACGGAAGGAGATATGGGCAAACAAATTTTATTGTCGACTCCATTACACGCGGGGAAACGGTATCAACTGTCCCCCACACTTCATTGGCAACAGTTATTTCCTTACATGAAAACTGTGAGCACCACATCCCATTTCCTCTTTCCGAAATTGTGCCTTCTACATGTTAATGTTTAACGAACGAGCAAAAGACGAGGTTGAAGAAGGTGAAGCGGTCGAAACATCGGCTATTTTGTATTAATAAATGTTATAATAACAACCTCATGCTTGCCCATCACGGAAAACGGTTCAACGAACACTTTCCAAACACCCATTTCCTATCAGCTTACTTGAAACTGCTCCTATATGTTAACATACTTTTAATCTAGAAAAGCTACCATAAACATTCTTAACCCTTTTATTTACTGCCTTTTTCTTCTTAATGGCAGGGTATGTTGCGAAATATAACTCGTTTGGAATGCTGAGATATTTGCAAAACTCCGGACCGCAGGTGTATGCAGTGGGGAACGAACACGCGTTGTTGTCCATACCGGGGAGCAGCGTACTTCACCACCACACCGTCCGGGTCCTTCGTCTTGCCTGTCTCTCAGCTAGTTCTACCGATCTTTTTGCCACCAGCAATCACCCGTCAACGAAGGACCCGGATGGTGTGGTGGTGAAGTGCGCTGCTCCCCGGTAAGGACAACAGCGTGTGTTCGTTCTCCACTGCATACACCTGTGGTCCGGAGTTTTGCAAATACCTCAGCATCCATACGTATCATAAACATTCTTTATTTATTCAAAAGACCGACTTTCTATAAGCCTCGGCATAGATAGTTGATATATTTCTTTATATGATCTTATGAACTGATCTTATTTAGCAAATGCGTGGTTGGTATAGGTCTCCGTTGTCGTTGTTGTTGATGTTCTTGGTCGATGGCTGACGTTTCGGCGACTTCGACTTCCTCAGAGCTTGGACGTATTTTATGTTAGAATACTTTTTATTATTCGGTGGAAAAGAAGGTTAAAGTGTTAATGAAGATCAAACTTTCAAATAGACGCCATATTGAACAGAAAGGCCACCCACCGTGATGTTACGTGCGGGACTGGCCCACACGTAGCTCACGTGGAGTCGCGAGGAAGACACGCCCCGGGGTCAAAATATCATTTTGAAATAGGGCGCCAGCTCACGCGTGATAGTGAGGCATTCGTCTTTCCGGTTCATCTTTGGATTTTTAAAATTTATGCAAAACGCCTCAAAAGTTTTGCGCGTTGATGTTTTTGATTCCTGCGCTAGGATCCGCACATTCACTTCAAAATCATCGCCGTTGTGCTTTTGTGCCCTATGCGTACCGTGTTTAAACGGATTTTAGCTTTCCCATCTAGATGTTCTTTTATGCGGACACAAAGTGGTCTACCCGTTTCCCCGATATATTCCTCGCCGCATGCATTACATGAGATCAAGTATATTATACCTGGACTCATGCAATCCCCGTCTCTCCCGTTAGGACAGATCATACAGTTTTCTGAGCTGCACAAACGATCATAGAGACGATTGCGAGCTAACTGGCGGCGTAGGGTATTGGGTGGGATGTCAATAATCGCTACATAATTTTCAAGACCACTTTTTTAAGCACCTCTTAATGGCGTGACTTACTTCATTTGATATGCTTCAAAAAGCTTAGATCATAGGACCAACACTGGTCAAGTTGCAAGTAAAAACGCTGAAATATACTGCGCACCAAGAACATCCAGAGTTAGTGTGCTAGGAGGAATTTTATATACTAGAGTATAGATATATAGATGTAATATATAATAGTATATACTAGAATTTTATATACTCTGACTGTTGGTTTAATAATTCAAAGCACTCATCCATCTGTTCCTGTATGGAACAGACCATGAAACAGTCGTCTATGTATCGACAGTAGAGTAAGGGTCGGTGATTGAGAACTGGAGCTTCCACCTTAGACATGAAAGCGATGGTAAGGCGTGGTGCTAAACGTTGTCCAATGGCCAACCCTCCGATTTGTGCAAATTATTTTCCAGACCACCTAAAGATTGAACAACTAAGACACTCTTTTAAGAGAGTCGTTAGTAGCGCAATCGACGAGCCGCACATTTTTATTTTCTTTTTATGCTCTACGAGCAGCTAGAGAATGGCTTGCATTGCAGAGTCATTCGACGCGTTGATGTAAAGTGGGGTAACATCGAATGACTCCATTACAAGCGTGCTGTTTGGCTGCGCGCACCGTAGGTGGTCTAGAAATATTTTGGTGTTAGGTAGATGGGTTGGAATGAATTTTAGCAAGTGGATCAGGATCTGAGGCTTAGGAACCACGTTATTCTATACCTTGGCCCGCCTATACAGCTGATGATAGGTCTAACTTTAAGTGATGATGGGTTCGTTGACGTAATATCATCAGTTGAAGCAAGCTTATTTGTTTCAATAAGCAAATAAAGCACAGAGCAAATTGGGCCTTGGTTTTTAAGTAGAAATAACTGAACACTCCAAATCCGCTACCTTTGGCGTGTTGACCCCTTCTTGTTTTAATTTTCGGTATTGATTTTTATATTCCTTTTCAGAGGATGTTCGACAGGGAGAAACATCAGATGCTGCTGTTATTCTAATATCCAATTGACTAGGAATAACTAGGCCGTCAGTTAGTTCGCAACCGTCTCTACGGTCGTTTGTGCAGCTCAGAAACATGTATGATTTTTCTTTACGGGAGAGACGGGGATTGCATGAGTCCAGGTATAATATACTTGATCTCATCGCATGCGGCGAGGAATATATCGGGGAAACGGGTAGACCACTTTGTGTCCGCATGAAAGAGCATCTAGATGGAAAAGATAAAATCGGTTTAAACACTCCTCTAGGTACGCATAGAGCAGAAAAGCACAACGGCGATGATTTTGAAGTGACTGTGCGGATCCTAGCGCAGGAATCAAAAACATCAACGCGCAAAACTCTTGAGGCGATTTGGATAAATTTCAAAAATCCAAAGATGAACCGGAAGGACGAATGCCTCACTATCACGCGTGACCTGCCGCCCATTTCAAAATGATATTTTGACCCCGGGGCGTGTCTTGCTCGCGACTCCACGTGAACTACGTGTGGGCCAGTCCCGTAGGTAACATCACGGTGAGTAGCCTTTCTGACCAATATAGGGTCTATTTAAAAGTTTGATCTCCTTTAATACTTTAACTTTTTCCACCGAGTAATTGAAGTATTTTTGTATAAAATACGTCCAGGTCCTGAGGAAGGCGAAATCGCCGAGACGTCAGTCATCGACCAACAACAACAACAACAACAACAACAACAACGACAACGACAACCGAGACCTATACCAACCTCGCATTTGCTAAATAAGATCAGTTTTGAAGGTCATATAGATAAACAAGTATTCTTTATTTGTTTATATATAGCCCTGGGCGCGTGTACCGCAGTGCTCGGAGGTTCCTTGCAATAGACATGTGATCGATCCTCGCGCCAGTAACCCACGAAGCCTTGCATCCCTGTGGAGTGGGAAAATTGGTACGAAACTTATCTAGAAGGATAGCTGCACTGGCTCGATACATCGCTTAGCCATCACAGGTTATTGTAAAGGCCAGACATGCATTCAATCATCTCCAACGATGGGTAATAAAGTCTAATGCTTGGCGCATCCCTCAGGGATTGATCGACGACGAGAGTTTCATCCTTTACATATAGTCCTAGTATAATCGAGTGAAAAGTTGGATTTTCTGCTTGCCTATATGAGGGTGACTCCATGTAACTAAACCCTCAGCGCACAATTTGAGTAATAGCCAACACTTCACCCGAAAGCCAATCTGCTATGTATACGAGTATTCACGAAGCATAGGAATTCATTTGTAAGAAAAACACGGAACAAACAATGTATACAACACGTCGTTTAAAGAGACTCATATAATATTTGCATATTTACAGAATCTTCAATACGAGAACATTTCCAAAGAATATCCTAGTCATTAGATGACAAAACATGTACATGACTGAGAATGCCATTTTGTAATGACACATTTTTGAGAAAACTCCTGCACTATTACAGCAAAGCAAGCACAACGTGTTCTCGCCGTTGTACAAGTGCAACGAGCGTCCTCGACACTTATTTAGAACGAACGAGTAGATAATTAACACCTTCTATTTAAAAAAAAGCAGAAACCATAAGAAGAACAAGGCACCAAGAGGAGACAAAGAGAATGCTACCTGCGACTCCTCAATATGACTCTTGTGAACGGTTTGTAATTGACGCTCTGTTTATACGAAAGACGATGTACCAAGACAATTCTAAAGGACACTGTTGAAATGTGTTAATGAAAATATGACAATACTTCAGAGAAAAGTTACTACCCACTAGTATAGTAACTATCGTCATGCTTTGTAATATCAGACCACCCATTTTATGCACATTTATATACAAATTCTCAGAATTCAAAAAGGTGAACTGTTATCGCTTCTAAATTTTCTGGATAATACTAAAGAGGAAACACGTAAGACTAAAGATAATTTAAACTTCACCTCTTTATCGTCACAGCTGGAATCCAACCTTTGCTCCTGTTGCGAACCAACGGGTGTAGGATTTTGCTTAACACCTTCACTTATGCCATCCATGTCAACGTCTTCTTCGTCAGAACTGCTTCTCGACAGAATCATTTGGTCCCGACGAATGCATTCTGCTTGTAAACTTAGTACTTGTGGCGGATCCACAACAACATTTTGACTCCGATCAAAGGTCTAAACAACGATTGAATTCCTTCAATCACAGTTCCAGATACACAATTTCCCTAGTGAATTTACACTACTTAAAGACATAATGTTGGCCAATAAATAGTCAAAGAACAAACACAAATTTCGTTCCTCGGAACTACTACTGAAGACTACTTCTCCTCCAACTGGAGTATTAAATCCTTTTAGCCGTGATTAATAAAGAGACTATCATACTTTGTAGATTCCGATCAAACGATCACCAAGCTCGAACATGTTATTTCGAAGCGAAATGATTATGAACTGTGCGTTTTTCGTGCGCTCCTACAAAAAAGGAAAAGTACGTGTTAAGCAATCAATGTATACAAAATGGTAAGTTTGGTTCACCATTCACCTACTTTGATGTAATGTGCGATAATCGACACATTCCTGAAGTCAAGAGCCGCATCGATTTCGTCCATAACATATAGAGGTGTTGGCCTGAAACATAAAGTAGTAGACAAAAGGACAATGACGCTGAAAGAAAATTCCAACAGAATCAAAAAAAAAACTCATTTGAAAGAAAGAGAACATTTTAGATGACTAAGTAACCTAAAAAACGCAAGGGGTTGCATAAATTCTCACATTTTTCGAATTAATCCAAAGAAGTACGCACAAATCAAAATCTTATGCAGGAAGAGGGAGGCTTGTGGCGCGGTGTTCGGAGGCGCCTTGCACCACACATAGGATCGATCCCCTCGTCTGTGGCCCACCGAGCCCTCCATCTCTCCTGGGTCGGCGGATTGGTGCCAGACTTATTTGGGAGGATAGCAGCACTGGCTCGATACATCGGTAGGCCACTGCTAGTTATTGTAAAGGCCAGATATGCATTCAATTACTTCCAAACGATGCTTAATGAAGTCAAATGCGTGGCGCATCCCCCACAGATTGATCAACGCCGAGATAGAATCATAACACATTATGACAGTCTTATAGTTTGGGTTTTCCCAGATGACATACAACCCCTATTTTCCTTGCCTTCTGGTCAATTAACTCGTAGGATGCTCATGCTTCGTTAGCCGTTCTTTCGGCCGACGTCAAAGCTGTGGATTGAATTCAAATCATCAGGAATCATTGGAAGACACGAAAAAAGCGTCTCTGAAGAAGGCGATACTGCCGAAACGTCAGCTACCGTTGCACTGTATTGTGTTTTCCTATGGAAGTAAATGTATGCTGTATAACAACTTCGCGATTACTGAACAAGAAAACGACGAAAAAGGTCGAACCTTTAATTCTAATTCTGTTTAGTTTCTGCATTTTGGCGTGTACCTTTCCGTGTCTTTAAACGACTCAAGCTCTTATGTTATAGAAAAACTTGTCCACCATCCAAACATGTTGCTGGTGGCATTTGGATAAGAACTAAATTTTGTCTGTGGATAGTGTGGCTATGACCCTTAGTCACATAAGAGCTGCCTTACAAATATGGATCTTCGATAACAGTCAACATGAAGATCCACAGCTTCTGGTTTGATTTACAGAATCGACATGCTTCTGTAAAATACTAGAACAAATTTTTTGTATAAGTTTCTAAAGAAGATTGGCCGGTGTGGAACAATGAACCACCAGCTGCGGCAATCTACATTATGCAAGACATTATTATTTATTATTATTGTTTGACATTATTGATATTGATGCATAACATTATTTGACATTATTAGATCCTGTAAGAGTCATTAAATGCACATTTGCTTTATAAAGTGACTTGCGAGGGTCTACCGATGTGTGAAGGCAGTGTTTCTTATCCTTCCAGACAAGTTTGCTATCAAATTGCCGAGCCGTAGAGAGATGAAGGACTTGCTTGGCCGAGGTCGCGCTATCGACGCAATGATCGTGTGTATGCCAAGGCACCCGTAACCACTGTGCTCCCCCACTTTTATCGTTCATTAAGCGTTAAAAAAAATATAAAGACCATTTACTGCCGTACTACATCGTGCATAACAACAAATGACCCGCATATGCTTTGCGAACATCAAAACAATTGCGAACCTCGCGACAAACAGTAGCATTCATGACTAATTTGACAGCATTTATAACATGCAATGCATATAAAGGAAAACGAATGGACTACAGCCGTTGACAACCGGATTTCTCAAGATACAAACGCACAGCAACAAGACTATCGACCCGATGGTCAGTGCTCTTGACGAAAACTCAAGTAGAAAGATATGATGCTCGATGAGTCTCTAGTACAAGCAGAACCCAGTGGGCCATTCTTCTACGCGATAAGGAGAAATAGGCTTGCTGGCGTTCGCTCGAATCACTCGACGATTAGCGGGACGGTTGCTGATTGAAGGGATAACTAATTTGTACATCTCATTGACAACATTGAAGAAAAGTTCCTCTCGTACCAAATATCCCAAGTAACAATAAACATTTCTTCAGTGACTTAAAAAAGTGCTATAAAATTTGTGTATGCTACTGTTACACTCATAGAGAACTTTTGAAAAATGTTTGGCAAGAAGATCCAAACACATAAACAGTACCAACCGGTAGTGATGTAAAGCGAAAACCAGTGACAGTGATGCCAATGTTTTCTCACCACCAGATAAATTTTCAATTCGCTTCCACGATTTCCTGGGTGGTCGGACCCTAAAAATATTGCCCTAAGATTCTATAGCAGACAAAAACAATTTAACAAATGTCATCTCCTTGAGATGTGAAAGAAAATAGTATTCTAAAAAACCAAACCAAATACTGACAACCACCCGAGATTTTCTAATGAAAACGTGAGATATGCCTCGTAAATCAAAAAGATACAAGGACGAAAAAAAAACGAACATGAATTGTATGCCTTGCGAGAACGGATCTGTTGAATCTCTAAGATCTAAAGAGGCATCCCCACCAATAGTTATCATTTGATACATTTCCTTTAAACCAAGCCCTATGCACTCAAATCCGTCCTGCAACGAGATTTTATTGTCGTAACCTAATCATTACAACTAAACCACAAATACATACCATAAATTCCTTTAAGCGATCACTGGTCATCTGGTCCAGCACAGCCATGTGCTCCTCCATAGTTTCCTTAGCCGCATTAAGAACATTTCGTTCTGCCTCAAGCTTCCCCAGCTGGAATTTTCTGGGAGATCATCGTTGATTAACAGTTAAATCATTTCTAACACATTCGCAAACGTGTTGGCTATTAACACTTTCTTCTAGAAAAGACTGTTCTACGATGTTCATAGGAACCCGCTACGTTTTCTACAATTTTAGTTCACGCTCAGGTCGATGGATAATTTTTTTTTTGAATCGCTCCACTGCTCAGAATACGAACTTCTGGGAAAAAATCGAAGAGAATATGTTTTTGCGAGCTCCAAAAAACTCAAATTTCTTTGTAAACAAAAAAGAATAAGAAAACTTCTAAGACTTATTGTTAGCAAACATCTGCATACTACGCTTATATTTTAATTACCAGTGCTAACTATAAAGAACTTATCTATTTAACGTTATAAAGCCCAATTACTGTCGGTCAAACGTGCACTAGAATCAATGCATGTAGCCGAAGTTTTCTATGGTCACAAAAATGTTAACAGCAACAACATATAAATGCGATTACCGTCCTAGATAAAACAACACTTAAGGCTATAACTACTTCACCAGACACATACCTTCTCCTTGTAGTCATTGATCACGTGCATGTTGATATTTGTACGAGTGGAGAGCTGCTTCTGCTCGATATTCGTCAATTTAAACTTAATTTCTTCCCTATCAAGATTAGCCACATCTTCTTTGGTTAGCTTAGGCACTACGCCATCTGGCGTTTCCAGTAAATCCTCTTCATCACATTCAGCTCTCTTTTTGTCACGCTTAATTATCAATATGAGATATCCATGTAAGATGAAGAGTTAACCAATGAACCTTCTTCGTATCCATTTCCCGTGCCATTTCTCGGTCCACCAATGACAGATCTGCGAACAGTGAGTCGTCAAAAGTGTCGTGCAAATCAGGTCGAACATTGATTTCCTTCGAGATTACGTCGAACTCCTGCGTTTGGTGAAGTGTAAGGCCTTCCATCTAAAAACCTTTTGCTCGGCAAATGAACACAGTATAAGCAAAGGAAAAACATGTGCTGTTGACTATATATAACACTAACCTGCTTTTTTAGCTTCTCAACCTCACTTTGAAGCGCTTTAAGCTGATCTTCCTTTTCGGCTAACTCATCGGTGCATATCTGATATTAAAAAACAGTTTAAAAAAAGAAATATTTTAATGATAAAACTACATAGTCAGAGAAACTGAAATCCTTAGAACACATTTCCGATCCCTACATGTTTGAAGATGGGTAATAAACAATAATTTCATCACACTAGATAGGAAACACCAAACCCTCATCGACCAACGAAGAATGCTTCTTTACACCATTACTCAAAACATTACCTTCACTTCCTTGAGGTACTTCAATTCATCACGGTTAAAATCCTCCCTACGTTGTCGAGTATTCTTAATGAATTCCTGGATTTCATCAAGTTTCACCTGTAATCAAAAAACCTAGGATCAGATCTGTAATCCAAACAATGTCTAATCATGACTAAAAATGGAAATAGAAAAACAGACTTTGAGTGGTAAATGTCATACCTGCAACTCAGACTGGTGAGCACGTGCTTCCGTGAGAAGTTTCGGCAGATTTTCTTCCTCTTCCATGAGCTTTTGTTCCTTTTCTTTCTTTTCAGCCAATGATTTTTCGAGAAAATTGATACGATTTCGAACCTGGAGTAAAATTAAGAAATGGTTAGAAAACGACCACGTGACAGAATGAATGAAGTACTTAGACACAAATCTTCCTGATTAGAAGCTCACATACTTTTTCCATATTATGCTCATTCAAATCTATGCTAACTCGTTCCTTAACAGCTTGTTCCTCAATCTCTTGTCTCCGTTTTTTTGCCGTGTCCGCTTCATCGAGGTATTTCTGAAGCAATGAAATTGTGGCAAAAAATCAGAGTAAAGCATTGTACAAGAGCTTTTACCTGTACAAACTCAAAGAATATGGATGTCACTTTGGCAGCTACAACATCAACCTTATCCTTTGCTGCTTTTACTTCTTTCCCACACTGTTCCCATTCTGAAAAATTTGATGAGTGGTCTTAAATTTACCAGTGAACCATTATCATCTCACTACTGAGCGAAAATCATTAAAAAGAAAGAATTCTACGGAGTGTTTCATGCACCTGAAGTTGCTGCTTCGATTTCTGCTTTCTTGGCGGCAACTTCATTTTCGTCGGCTAAATTCTCCTCTAACTGTTCACTGACGTAAACTACCTGTTTTTCCATGTGAGAAATGCGCTCAGTAAGCTTCTTAAAAATAATTCACGTTAATACAAGTCATCGTTTGAGAGCAAGAAGCCAGTGTTTCCGAATCTCACCAGGATTTCATTGTCGCAGGTGTTATATTGTGTCCGTAAGCGATTTGCATCGTTGCTTAAGGCGAAAATACGTTGCTCCATCTAATGAATAAAAAATAGACAAATTAAATTAAATAAAATTAGGGTGCTTCACAGAGTAGTAGTCGCATTGTTTGCAAAGCAACTATGCAAGCGAAAACTGGTCATTCCACAATAACTTACCTGTCTGCAAGCTTTTGATGCTTCTACTAGTTGCTCGCTTTTCTCGTCCAACTCCTTAGTTAAACCTGGGAGCCGTTCTTGCGCCTCACGAAGTGCTTGATCTGCTTTTCCTTTCTCTTTGTTCCCCATTAGACCACTAAAACAAAAGATTATTACCTATGTAAAAAAAAACCCGCGCGTGTGAAACGTAGAAATACCAACTATTTCGGCGCACCACCTCCTGATACAGTTCCAGAGCTATCAATTACCTGTCCGAGAAGAGTTACAATACGTAAGGCTGAAAAAGGAGAGGAGGTTGAAATTGTACCACCGAAATGTAAATGGACAGTTAGAAAATGATGTCTTTAAAAACAAGACTGCTTCAATAAAGAAGAATGAGAAAGCAGAACTTGATCTAAAGCAATCAAACGATGAGACCACAAATGGATTCAAGAAGTGAAACTAAACTCACATCGGTCTTTACATGAGAGCTCAGTGGCTTCTTTAAGGGTATCAACGACAATAGTATCAAAAACAGTGGAATAGAAAACCTTCCTGAGCCGTTTGTCAGGTATATCTATAAGGTCGAACAAACGCGGCGCAGGGCTTAAAATTAGTGGTTCAAAGAATTGTACTGTAAAAAGAAAATAGTAAGGTAACTGAAAATACTTTATTGTAAAAGGAAAACAGCAATATTCCTAAATTTATATCCCAAATTACCTACAATTTCCTAGTTGTATCCATACTATCTTTGAATTCACTAGTCTTGTCCAAAATTATGAAATTTGTGCGGCCGAGATTCCTCTAAAGTGAAAATCTCATGTGTTTTCTAATTCTCGAAAATAATATAACAATTCCAATAACCTTAACGAGATAGTCAATGGCCTCATGACCGTCGTTCGTTGTCTCAACAACGTACGAGTCCAACGCTGCCGTAGTTGTCGAGATCGCTGCATCGTATTTCTTGTCGATCGTACCAAGATCACCCTAATTCACGTTGTATGAAAACAGTGATAATTTAAAGAAATAAAAAAAACGACAAGAAATGATGAAGACTTAAGAACCAAGGTTATTATAAGGGACTTACTAGCCTTCCAATAAGCCCTTTGAGTAGACCTTGACTTTTCGCCTTAGCAAGTGCCTTCTGGCGCTCTGTTCCTGCAATTCCAGAAGACACCAACTGTTTATCTTCCGAAACTTTGGCGCGTAGAACGTTCACCTACAGAAATATAGTTTGGCAATACAAATTATAAAAGTGCCGTATGAGCCGACAGTTGAGGTTTGAATGGAAATCTCAAAAAATAAAGAATAAAAGTATAAGCGTTTGCGAAAAACCAATAGAACAGGCAAGAATGAAAAACAAATCATAGATTTGACCTCTTCCATGAGTTTATCCTCCTTTTCCTTTGTTCCAGGAAGAGTAGCTCGAACCTGAGCAAGCTCTTCCTGTACACGTGGGAGGGACACTTTCAGCTCGTTCATTTCTCTGCAGGAGGAAGATGTAAATACAATGTAAATACAATAAAACAATGAAAGCTACCACTATCTTGAAAAAAAGCTATTCAGATTGGAAAAGAAAACACTTAATTACATAGTCTTCTTCTCTAAATCCTCCTTCCAAGAGTTCAAATTACTCTGAAAGTCAGCCAGGCGTTTTTTCAGTTTCGTCTCCTCTTGAGTCATGTTCATCAAAGCTTCTTTGGCAAAACGAACCTAAACCACTAACAAGGCACAATGCTTTGAACACACTGCTTACCACAGGCAAAAGGCAGTTTTTACTAAAGGAAAAACTAGCCTTATTTCTCGCATCTACTTCCTTTAGAACAAGCACTCCCAACTCTTTTTCTAGACGAGTTCTTTCGGCTTTCTCTGGTCCAGCTTTCCGATCGAATTTGTCTCTATTTCCATCAGCCTGAATGCAGCACTCAGAATGTAAAACGTACTAAGAAGTGTAAATATTGCAAAAACCTTCTTAATGTTGTCACGTTCCAATTCGTTCAACTCTACAATTGAAGCTTTTAAAACTTCTAACCGAGCAGAAGCTTTCGCAGGCACGCCTTTGAGTTCTTCTAGCTGAAAGTGACTAGAGGACTGTCGATAGAAGTTCTCACTTCGATCTGATTACTTTAGTTACCAAACTCTGCTACATATATGGTGAAAAACAAAAGTGAAAGGCCGTTATCCACTCAAATTTAACTGCTTAACTGATTTAACAAATTTAACGCATATTTCCGTCAGGTTCCTTTCCCAGTTATCATGCCCTACCTTCTGCTTCTCTTTTACGATTTCATCAGAAACTCGAGCAATATCGGCCACGTTTCTTTTCAGTGTGTTGCCTCGTGCTTTTGATGACCGTTCTAATGCACCGATTTCGTCGCGAACTGCTTTTTCCTCATCTCGGATACGCGCTTCATCCCTAAAATAAGCTCAACAGATGGGGATCGGTGAATTTGGTTTAGTTCATGGTTGCAATGTTGATGCAAAAAAGCCAAATTCTCGGGAATTAATATAGAAGTTGCAATTCTATAACTTACCTTCGAGAAGTTACAGAAAAACTCGGTGTTAGCATCACAACAGTTCCAGACCACCTAAGGAACTGAAAGCCGAAAAAGCTGGACAAATTGATTCGCATGAATTGACGACATATCGCACAGCTGATACCGCAAAGGTTGAAAGAACTGGGCTACCAAACTATGTCTCATACACCACACGCTCGAGACCTCTCGTTTATTGACTCCCACTTCTTCGAGCATCTAGGGAACATCCTGTGTGAGAAAAGCTTTAGCGACCAAGTAGAAAGCAAAACTGCCTTCAACGTTGATCGCCTAGAGAGGTCTAGTCTTATAGACTAACGAGATAAATGAAACCTATTCTTCGTTGTCAACAGTGTGTAGATTCCAAAGGTTTTTACTCTTATTAAAGAAGTGGAGTTTGAATTGATATATTTCACATGAAATACACAGGTTTGAAATCTTCGACCAATTTCCGAAGAGTCAAATAAATATTAACACTTACTTCTGAGCAGCTTCCAGCCGATCACTATCTGCTTCTCGAGCACTAAGTACATCTTGCAAATCTTTTTCAACGTTAACCTTCTTCTCAAATGCAGCGTCGCGAAGCGGTTGAACAACACCAATCTTTTCCAGAAATTGGAATCTTAACAACATTAGTGCTTCAACTGGGATCAACTATTCCAGTTACCCAATGACAGACACTTGCTCTCAAATTGGCAAAACTGTTGAAAGTATGGAAGTAAACGTACAATTTAATGTGCAACAGTTGATTCCTCAAAAGTACAGCATGATTTTCTGCTTTAAGATATGATATCATTTCACGAACAGGCGCCTCCAATGCAACTTTTTCTCTTTCAGCTGCTCTAACCCTGAAAAAAATAGGTCCTTATCCTTAACTCTGAAGAAGAACAACTAGATCTCCAATTAGTTATTAATACACTAAATATGCTTCATATTCTTGTTTAGCAAACACGAGGTGTTATTTAACTTCTTTGTTTACGCACAAGCTGACGTTTCGGCGGATATCGCCTTCTTCGGAGCCCGGAAAGGTGAAGTTTACTGCAATCTACTAGGTCAAATGCCTCCATAACCAAACAGAGAAAAAGCTAAACCAAGATTCCAATCACAGTGAACACAGAATAGCTTCTTTGCACACCCATCGCTTTCTATGAGCCTTCCACTAAATGTTTCACGTGGAGACCAACCGCACAGAGTCCACATGGAACCGTAATATGCTCCCCTCATCAAAATAACAGGTTTAAATACTGCCTAATATCACGTATGATTATAAGGCACTCTTCCCTGCAGTTCATTTTCGGATTTCTATAATTAATCCAGAACGCCTCGAGAGTTTTGCGGGCTTGTGTTTTCGACTCTTGTGCAAGGATCCTAACCTGTACTTCAAAATCTTCCCCGTTGTGTTTCCGTGTCCTACGCGTACCTAGCGGAGTATTTCGTTTAAGTTTACCGACTAGGTGTTCTTTTATACGGACACAGAGTGGCCTACCCGTTTTACGAATGTATTCGTCCCCACACGCTTTACAAGAGATCAAATAGACTGTAGCCCAACTCACGCTATCACCGTCTCAACCGTTAGGGCAAATTATACAATTTTGCGTTGCACATAGACGGTCATATAGGTAGTTCCGAACGAGGAAGGCGAAATCCTCCGAAACGTCAGCTTGTGCGTAAAAAAGGAAATAAAACAACACCTCATGTTTGCTAAACAAGAGTATAAAGAATTGTTCGATCAATATCGAGGTTAATAGACAGTCGGCCATGGGAGTTACACCAAATATAATTCCCAAGAGTTGCAGAAGACGAAAAGGAACTCTAAAAATTTGAATCCTACTAAATAGCCACATATTCGGCTAGGTGGAAAGTTCACGATAACGAAAGCATAATTTCTCGTCAATTCGAAAGTTGAAAGCCTACTGCATCTATTGATGTATCAAATATAAACAAATGAAATGTATACAGACACAAGACGAAACAACATAATATATTAACAAATATGTAGAGCATAAAATGTGTGAAATGGATTCGGCCCATTCATAGTCCTCGCCCATCGATTCGATTAGTTTCCGAAACATTTTCGTTTCATAAGTAACCTGCCCGTGAAACAGCAAACCTTTGATCCACGACGGCCAAATGAATCTGGCCGAAGTGAACACCAAACAGATGAAGGTCTGCGTGCGTTTTAACACGGCTATCAAAGAACTCTCAGGAAAACTACGGCATTACTCAATAATGTCGATGAAAACAGGAAGACAAATCTCAGGCCGTAAGCTAATTCACACAGGAACCCCACCATACCCATGGATGATGATTATCATACCAAATTTCAAAGTATGAAAGTATAAACTAAGCGTATCTAATACGGTAAACAAAGGAACTCATGAAATGTAATGTTTTTTGGAATTCAAGACCGAAAAGAGACCACTGAACATCTTTCATGAGCAAATCTGTCGAGTGCAGACACTACTGAGACTCACTTGACTCAGTTTGATAGCACATGATATTACAGGTGATACAATTAGAAAAGAAACAAGTTTACACTAAAAGCATGACCAAAATTCCTGATCAACCTAATATAACCAGGCTTGAAATAATCCAACCATAAAAAATACACAAACCTTTGCACAGCCTGCGATCGCTGCTCTTTTAGAACATCCACTTTTGCCTTGAGCTTCTCTATGGGTACCTAAACCTTCACCCTATGAAAAGAGAGCCAACAAATGCCTAGAATCGTCTATTGCAAGCCTACACGGAATCGACTTGATCCAACGATATCCTCCAAATACTCCAACATGCCTTCCTCATGCGCGTTTTCTCCTTTGGGCTTCATCATGGCAATCTGTTCTACTTCTCCCTATAAGTGTAGTAAAACACGCAGCGAAGTCGCGTGGCATTTGAATGACGTACCTGTAGAATGAGGAAACGATTATGGACCAGATCGATCCCAAGTTCTCTCAAACGACCAGCAATTTCTTTTATCGTCATGGTCTTAAAGCAGAAGACAACTGTTAAACACACACAGGAAAAGCATAAAAGACTTTACTTTTCCATTCCAAGCATAGACACTGCTATTATTTTTATAGGCCGTCCTTGAAACACTAAACTCGCTCCCTTCAACAACCTCGAAGCAGTCATCCTGCAAATGTAAACCTTTCAGACAATTGCAGTGACTTGGATCGAAAGCTACGAAAGCTAACCTTATCAACAATCTGTTCGAAGAAAACTTCAACAGTGCAACTATTGATATCATCATGAGCTCTCGATGAGTGAATAAGCACAGATAACTTCTTAGAACGAATTTTCGAAGCCTAAAATAAACTAGTGCTATTAATATTAATGGGACTGAAGACCTTAAAAAAGTGGGACTCCACTATAAGCCACCTTGTAACCGAAGACGAACAGGAGAGAATCGATAACATTACTCTTCCCAGAACCATTCGGACCAATAATTGCAGTGAAATTCTGAAAAGACAACTAGATTCTCATTTCCTGACCCAACATGGGAGACAACCATGACTATAGCGTACTTTATGAAATGGACCAATGACTTGCGTTCCAAAATACGACTTGAAATTGGTGGCGACAATCTCCCTTATGACGAGTCTCGCCCCACTTCCATCAGGTTTCATTAAAGACTGAGGTGGCGGTGGAATAACCTAAACCAGAATGAAATTGCCCTCTATTCTTAAAAAGTAAACATTGCCTAAAATACATGCCATTCTGAGAAGGTCCTCATTCTCATACTCTTCAACAAACTCATTCTCTTCATCCGACGAGCTGTCAGCCTGCCTCTAAATTGATGCATACGTCAGCAGCGTTCGCAAGTTCCTCATAAAAACGAACCTGCTCTGCTGCCTTTTTACCATCTTTGGAAGGATTTCTGTTCACCTTCGCCGGGGTATGAGCCTTCGCTTGCTTTCTCTTGAAAGCTGGAGGAGATCTGGCTGGCGACGGCTGACGTTTCTTACCGGGTTTTCTCTTTACTTCTTCATCATCTAAACAAAGTTATGTTTGAATTCCACGGAAACAAACCAACCTAGACACACAAAATGTAGCTCTCCCTAGATATTCCCTTTTTCGGAAACAAAATGGCAAGAAGTCTCTTCAAACACTACCTGAGCTGAAACAGCTATCCTCATCCGAATCCAACCGCTTCTTACGAGCCATAATTCAACCTTACCACCTAAACGAGCATATAAGTATTTTAAAGGAAACCAAACTAGCAAAAGATGGATCACTCTTTGTGTTACATTGGAAAAGAAAAACAACAATAAGGCTTTCCCTACACGTCTGATAGGAATGACAACCCTGCACACAAGCCTCTTCCGCTGTTAAGACAACGAATTCATTCGCTTGAAGAACGAAAAATAATATAAAAATGGAAAACTTAGAAGCTAACACCCCTCTAACACACTTTGCAAAACCATAAACAATGTCAACGGGATGGAATACTATAACATAAATAAGCTGAATAACAGAACAATGCGAAGACGCCAGAAGCGACGGAGTTCGATTCCTTCGATTGAATTCGACAAGATCCGGATTGGGATTTGCCAAACTCAGGGGGATAGAGAGAGAGACGGCAGAATACGACGCCACGTGGAGACCTCAGTAAAAGCTTCGCACGGACATCCGAACACACGCACACAGGCGATGCACCACACATTCAAGCGCCTCGATTTTCCCGCGAACTACTCTATAGGGCGACGAGAAACTCGTCCACTTTAGCACATACAGCGCATTGTATGGTGTCATCGAGACCTACCGGTACTTGGAACTAAATCTCTTAGTAACTACGTGTTAGATTCATAGTTGAGGAAAACACTGCCGGTGATGTTTTGGAAACTGTTCGAGAAGCTGAGAACTTCAGTTTCTCATTAAAGTGCTCTTCCGCATGGGCATAGGGGACGAATGGTTCTTCCGTATGATCGTTTCGTTCTTACACTTCTGTTAGTTAAAATTTACGCAGAAATTTGAAGAGAAATTCATATTTACGGGATTTACAACGCTGACGCATCAGCCGCAAACGGCAAGGATACAGAGTCAGGTTACCTGGGAGTGTAGACGAATGAGTTCATAGATCAACAGCCATCTACTTCCTGGCTGTCGAGAACCTAAATTCCCAAAATGCTTGTGGAAGTGAAGGGATCCATTTACCCAATGGTATATCTGATATCCCTGAAATGCTGCTTTATCCCTGAAATCGATAAAAATTCGAGTTTGCCATCGTTTTCCTGGAACGAGCGTGGCGACCGCAACGTCAGCGATGCAGTCGCGAACACCACGGCATCCTACCAGTCCTTTCCACTGGGATTCCGTCCGTTTCTACCGCTGTGAATCACATTTCCTCTCTGAATACAAAGCTATTAACTCCATTCATATAATGATATTTGACGACGAGGACTTTGCTTTCATATGTTCTTACGAACTGCCCCTTTTTTAGCTGAGAGCTTTAGCTTTTTTTCAGCTCTCGTCAGCAAAAAGGGGGCACTTCGTGAGGACATATCTACAGATATATCGACTATTATGGCAAAATCTATATAAAGTTAATCTTTTGAGTTACTTTGCTCTCATTTCTACCCTAATATTTTCTGCATGCTAGTGATTATCCTCTTTGGGTCACTAGATTAACCCACAGGCAACGACGTCTAATCTCATGTCCGTTACGGACTTTCCGGTTTCTTTTTTTTCTGACAGTAAGCAATAATTTTCCAGTAAGTGGAAGGCTTAAGGATTTGTAGACATGACAGGTTTGTAGAAGAGATCGTGCGAACCTGTTTCTGTCGGCATTTGGAAGGGGCCACCCGATGTTGAGTTTATTTCGGTATTTTTTGCACTCGCACATTTCGTACAATAACCCTGATTCATCTGAACCAGTGAAATGAAATAACGGCGAAATGAGAGTCAAATTACTTGCTGATGAACTTGCCGAAAAAGTACTGCTGTAAGCAAGCTTTCATTTAAAGCCTATATAAATGATCAATGTAACTTATTCCTGTCGCGTGTGGCGCAGTGGTCTCAGGCGCCCTGCATTACACAAGGGATAGATTCCGGCGCCGTAGGCTCACCAAGCGTTCCATCCCTCCGGGGTCGGCAACCTTCCGGGTTCCTTTCCCCTATGTCCATCATTCGTGAAGGTTTTCAAACTTTTCACTAGTGGGTTTGGCTACTGCGTGAGGATTTTTGGTCCTCTTTACGAATGTTGTTCAATTCTAGTCAAACCTATCCTACCTATGATCTTTTGATAGCCGTGCTAGGGTTTCCTTCATAGTAAGCAGGCGTCATCTTTTGTGGACTTAAACGAAAAAGGCGATTAAAGGCTGATTCGGTATCAATTTGGATACTTTTGGTAGGTCCACGCTAATTTGAACCAGTATATTTTTCGCAGTAAACATCAACACCACCACCACTGCACTATCGGTCTCTCATATGAATGTAAACAAATGAAAAATGGGCAGATTTTATCGACGTAGGGCTCGCCTAGGATGCATATGGCGCAGTGGTCGGAGGCGCCCTGCAATGCACATCGAATCTCATGCCTCTGGCTCACTAAGCCTTCCATCCCTCCGTGGTCGGTAAATTGGTGCCAGACTTGTCTGGGTGGTCAGTTGCACTGACTCGATAGCCATCGCAAGCCATTGTTTACTCAAGATATGCATTCAGTCCTCTCTAACGTTACTTGCCGAAGTCGAATGCATGGCGCATCCCTCAGGGATTGAACAACGCCGTGAGCTTTATTCTTTTATTTTATTTTACATTATCTCATTTATAAGCTAACATGAGGCTCTCCGAACACCCAAACAATTTTTCCAAGAGCCGGAAAAAGTTTTTCCTTATATCATTGAGTGTAGAGAGTGCTTTTCCAGTCTCATCCTTCCTATTTTGATCTGCTTTCGATTATCCACCGAAAGAATATACGCAGCGTAGATATAGTGAACATACAAGTTCTAGAACCCATTGGAGTGAGATTGGACACTATGGTGCCGATAATGTCGCCAGCAAGGTAAAAATGACAAAGAAAGCAAACCCAGGTAATTTTCCAGAAATTTGAAGCTGGACGTGAAGCGGCGGAGACCGTTCGCGCCAGCAGCGCTGTTTGACTAACGTACTACACTACGACGTACCTCCATCCGTACACATTTCGTGCCAGACAGATCTGGAGCATTCGCGACGACACCCAGTTTTAAGCCGAGTGCTTGCCTTTTAATACATACCAGAGTATGTGTGCCGGATTAGGTGCACGCCAGTTCAGTGGTCCACGGAGGTTTTCCATCGCACTTTTTGTATTCTGTCGATAACTTGTCAGCTATAGATATATGTCAAGCGTGGTTCATGAAAAGTGTTCTCTACACCTAATAGTTCCCAATAATTCTCTTTTTCACAGGTTCATGTTGCGACGAGAGATTATAGGTGTTGAAGGGAGAATGCAGCATAAAGAGTATGGCCGGCGAAGAGGCGCAGAAATGCCTGTGCTTGAACAATAGAATCGGACACATCGGTAGAGCTTTTCGCTCTGTTGAGATGACAACTCGCTGAGGGGACCTCTTCAAAATGGCTCGATGCTCATGGTGTATCCGTTCCTCAATGAGATTCGGCAAGACTTGCCTTGCGAAACTGCCATCGAGTCTTGTTACGTTTTTGTTTTATATTCATTTTATGGGCCATAGTTTGCAATTTATTCGTACATGCAATATATATGTATATGTATAAATGTGTACATATGTCCAATAAATATAAAGGATAAAAAAGCTCTCGGCATTGGTCGACCCCTGAGTTATATGCCATGCATTCGACTTCATTAAGTAACGCCGGAGGTGATTGAATGCATATCTAGCCTTTAAAATGACTCGCGGTGGCCTACCGATGTATCGAGCCAGTGCTGCTATCCTTCCAGACAAGTCTGGTACCAGTTTTCCGACTCTAGAGGGATGGAAGGCTTGGTGAGCCATGGGTTCAAGGATCGTTTCCACGCCTCCAACCACTGCGCCACACGCGCTCTATCCAATATATGTAGCAATAATAATAATAGTAGTAATGACAGGTTCCAATTAGTACCTACAGTAGTCTTCAGATAGGATTTCGTAAAGGTGATGTCCACATTGTATGTCTATTGAGGCATTATCAATAATAATGTTTGCTACACTAGATGAGCCTTTTTTTCTTTGGATCATGTAAGGCACTGATTAAAGGTGTCCTGCAATACACGTGGGTTAGATCTCTCGCCCAGGCCCATCATGTCTTCCATCCCTCCGGGGTCTGTAAATGGTATCAGACCTGTTTGGGAGGATAACAGCACTGATTTGATACATCGGTAGGCCACCGGTAGTCAATGTATAGGCCTGATATGTATTCGATCACCTATAACGAAGCTGGATGAAGTCGAATGCATGTTGCGTCCCTCAAGTGTTGATCAGAGTCGACAGCTTCATCTTTTATCTCTTATCCTTTTAGTGTTTCTTGCCACGGCTGCACCTAGTGCTAATCCTTCTTGCACGTACAGCAACAAATATCCGTCTATTTTGCTCTATAATAGCCTTTTAACACCCACATATCGTCTCCACTTTTTCGAACCCTTGATGAGGGTTTTGTCGACGATCACCACGCACTCCCATATTCAAGAAAACAGAGTTCATCTTGAAGTAGTCATTCAGCAAGATCTTATTCAATTGTTCATTATTTATCTTGCATGCGTTCAGCAGCTTACGAATGACTTCTCGTATCCTAGTTGTATCGTTCAATCGCCACCAGCTTTGATGAATTGGAAGAGTCGCGTTATGAACTGTGGACAGCATACTAATATCCTCCTTCTTTCCCCAGTTAAACGCCGTTGCGCAGCACCAATTCAGTTGCTCTCCCGACTATTCACTGTTCAGCTTTCGATGGACGCTTGTTCGAGAAACCTCTATTTTGCCTAAAGCCTTTAGCTGATCCTTTCTCAGTGAGTTTCCAGCTGA